TGCATGATTTGGTCTTTGCCTGGAAGCAGGGGAGTGAACTCAGTGAACTAAAACAGATAAATATATTTTTATCTTTATGATTTTTCAGTTTTTCAATAGCTAGGATCAACTGTCTTACAATTTATAGGAAAACACCTCTCTTGTTATCTTTATCATGGGGTTCGGAACCCTTCTCTCCAGCTGCCCTAAATTACATTTGCCGTGGCTGTGATTAATTTGCTGGCGTGCTATATCACCTCCACTCCACCTCAGCTCCTAGGCTGGGACCTACCAGTGCACTTTCGGCGCGGGGCGGGTGGCTGTTCACTGGGCCGTGGAGAGGCATTTAAAGAAGGCTTTGCTCTACTCTAGTGACAACTTTCAAGAAAGCAGCTGTTCATCAGTCTACTTTATTGAGTTAAGCTATGACAAGCTAATTTTTAAAAATTTTTTTGCAGCATTTCCTATGAACAAGGTGTAGTGTTGAACACAAGTGTAGAATACAGTCAGATGCACAGAACCATGTTTTCACCACCAGGAACCAGAGATCTGAGAAATGCCTGCCACAGGTTGAAGACACTCTAAAGCAACTCTTTGTTTCCTATACAGCATGACAGAGTAGCCTCTTCTGACCCCACGGGTTCCACCTCCTCTGAGAACTATGCAGCATGCAGGTAGGAAAGAAAACCTGCCTGGTTAAGCGGATGGAGGTTTTACTGAAGATTCTTTTGATCATAGTTTCCTGTCCACTTTCCAACTTGGCAGCTTTCACTCCGAGGAAGAGTCCCTGAAGCCACTGCCACAGCTCCATGGTGTGTGGAGCATATGAGTTTCCCTCCTCAAGCCGGCCCTTGGTTAAAATGTTCTTGGTAAACAGAAAGGTCACGATCTATCAGGATTTCGCTTCAGCATGCAGTTGACTGGCCTATCAACATAATTTCTAGCAGCTTTTCTTCAGCAACTCTGCCTGTTTAATTAATCTTCAGCCATTAACCATTCATTTAAAATGCCACTTACAAAATCTTAATTTTGCACATTATCAGCTGGTTCACAAATCGCTAACCATGAGCAGAAGTGTAATGATCTCACGCTCCCTGTTCTTAGAGCTCACCAAGCTTACAGCCTATTTTGGCTTCTTAATTAACCATATGCATATTAGCATTTAAAATTACATGAGTTTTTTTTTAAAGGAATGAATGTTCATACTAACAACATTTTTCTTTATTTTTTTTGGGGGGGGGTCACAGTGTCTAACCCAGCCACAGCCCTCCTGGGTGCCCAGCAGCGTGATACATGTGGTGTGTGCCCCCTAACTGAACGTACTCTTGCAATGATATTCCACATACATCGCCCAGAGCCCCCAAGCTTTCTGTTTGGTGGAGAATAAACAGTGTGCAGACCAGGATCATCTTTAGTTTCGGGTATTGAGAAATGACAAATCATTTTGACCCCATCCATCTGAATCAATTCAATCTCAGCAGAGAGTGGGGCAAAGAAGGGCATCCGGGCAAACAATATTGTTAGCTGATACTTACATGACTTTTTTTTTCCTAGCTGGGACTCTAGTTAATCACCTGCAATTTTACAGGTTTCAGCTTGGCTCAAGGTCCAAGGTAAAAGCTGGGATCAGAATTCCTCAGGTTGGCTCAATATAATCTATTAAAGGCTCTGGCCTGTGAGCCACTGTGCGGGTTACTTCTGAGGTTTGATGAATGGCTTACATCACAATCAGCTCCAAACTCCAAGGATGATGAGTCTGTACTTCATTTGATTGGTGGTAGCAATATACTTCCAGATTGCACATATTATATTTTGGAGAACTGCAGTAATCCTGAACATGTTTCTTTTTCTTTTATCCAATTTCAGAGATTCCGAGTACAAACATAAATAATCACAAATGAAAATTATGTTGCATCATCTACTCAAACTTCATACATCTGGAATGAGCAAAGTTGCTTATTAAAAATGTTTTACAACATCATGGGAGTGAAAATGGGGAAAATAGCAGACTATTTTCCGCATCATAATGCGAATGGAGGTACAGTACCTTTGGATTCATGAGACATTTGGTGGAGGTGACATACCAGTGGTTATGAGCCTCGTTTCAGTTATATTATACCTGTGCAAATTACTGAGCCATTACTGAGAATGCATGTGCAGGTGTCAAAAAATTAAGACTGTAATTAGAAACAGAAATGTACTGATTGATGAAAGAACTCTGAACCAAACATGAGCATAAACAATTTGAGACTCAGCAAACTTGGCATTTTGTAATCCTGTTAGCATTTCAGCTTTTAATCCAAGTAAGTACTTAAAATACAAGCATTATCTTGACTCTGCAATTTCTGGGGCTGCATTCCAAGAGAATGACAATAATTTATTGTCCTAGATTTGGTCTTTTAGCCTGAAAGGAATCATGAGAGCTTTCCAAAGGATAATAAATGAAACCTACTTCTTAAATTACTAAGCTAGATCCATTCTGTGATTTCTTCACTGATGAATTTACTTCATAAACATGTATGTGGTAACTACTACATGCTAAGCACTGGGAAGATGTCGAAGGTAAGTTGTATCCACAAAAAGGTTTGCTCTTTTAGGTCAGTGTAGCAGTAACCCATAAGGTCCAGTTTTGATTTTAGTGTTTTCTCCTTTGGGCCCTGCCTGAATCTTTTGCTTTGTGTTTACAGAAACACTAACTGAAAATCTCAAACTGCAAAAGTAGGATGACATGAAACCAGTAAATTGCCAAATGTGAAACCCATTGCAGTGGCATGAGTCTCATGTGGTAGCCCGTTAGAAATGCAAATTTAAGAGCCCTGCCTCAAACTCAAGGAATCACAAACTCTGGGAGAGGGACCCAAGGATTTGGGGTTTACCAAGCTCTGCAGGTGATTCTGGTGAACCCACAAGCTTGTGAACAAATACTTGGGCAGGAAAGTGGACCTTCAGCGGTAGTGGTGAACATTTTTTTCAGATTGATAAACAACCTCGTAGCCCTGAGAGTAAACAGGGAAGGAGCTAGGTTAAACCTTTGGGAATGAAGGCTGGCGTGGACCTGGGTGCCTTGAGAATGAGTACTCTGAGACATGGTATAGAAGACAATGGGGAGCTTTCTCTATATCCCTGCCTGTGCCAGGGTGTAACTCTGGGGTCTGTGGAAGAGAAGGAGGGTGCCACGGAGATGGATTCCTTCAGTTCTAAGTTCTGTTCCCTGATCTTTCCCTGGTGCTGCTAAGAGGACCTTCTTTGGTGTCTTCACTTATGCCAAGCCCTTTTCCTATCTGGCTCGTCGTCGGCTCTTCTTCCTGAAATGCTTTTCTTCTTTCATCATCAAACTGCCATCTGTTTACTCTTTGAGTCCCTGGTTAAGCGTCACTTACCCAGTGAAATACCTTTGACCCCCCCTCCATATAAAAAAATGGTCATGACGTCTGCATTTCTCTTTGGCAGCACTCAAGGAGTAGTTATAATTATTTAATGCTTATTTCCTTTAGATTTCAAGTTTCACGAGACCCAGGACTGTCTCCCAATCTCAATAATTTTTGTTGAGTGAATATGATTAATTTATTAAATTTTATAGAATTCATATACTGTTAAAGCATCATGTTTCCTAAGCCCTTGCCTGAGAGCTAAGCTGCGGTAAAATACATCATCAGTGGTTCCTGTTATCCCTCACTCTTGTATTTTTGGATATTTCTGTTTTTGACATTCTCTACCTGACTAGGAAGCAGCATCTCAGCCAGCAGCGGTAGCAAAATGAAGGGAAGATGGCAAAGACGAGCCAGCTTCTGTGCTGCATGCGCTGGCTCGCACAGGCCCCAGAGGCGCTGAGGGACAAAGCTTCCCCTTGACCCTGGAGGTGGAGGAGGTGGCTCAAGCCTGTAACAGCATGTGGCCGGGGGACCAGGAGTGGAGGATTGATATTTACACTTCAAACTCTATTTTGTTGAACACCACAAGAAAGACGGTAGCTTTAGGAGAATAGATAGATAGTTGGACCCTGGTCAGTAGACGGCAAAACACATGTAACACGTCTCAGTGCTGGGCAGATGGTGACTATTCAGTGACTATCATTCACTGTCATCGTCATCATGATCAGTATCATCTTCAGCATTTCTGTTTCTTACAATTTTAATAAGGACTGTTTCTAGATCCTAAAACACACATATAGACAGATTCTGGACACCCTTGATCAGATAAGTTTGGAGAAACAGTCTCACAGAAAAAAGAAATCTGAAAGGAAATTTATGAACTGCATTTAGACTCAAATGATCTGAAAATTACTACCGAAGTCTACTGCTTTACATTTTTTATGTTTTCCAGTGAATTAGTTTTGAGACTTGGAAATCACATAGATTCGTAAGAAGTATTTTCCCAGATTCTACGCTGGAAACAAGCATGGCCAAGTGGTCTGGTATTGGACTGCTCCTCACCTCTGCCCCTCGGATCCAGCTCTGCTCCTCTTAGTTCCCCCTCTGCTAAGTACCCAGTGAAATCAGCCCCCGTGACCCTGGCCCCTTTTGTACACTGGCCTCACTGCCAGGAGAAAGGGTTGAAATGAAGCTGCAGTGAGTGGAATTAGCAGCAGAAAACCCAGAGAATGGCCAGAGAGAAAGGCTGAGCCTGAGCACGTCCTTAGTGGAGAAGTCCACGCCGTGGGCTGAGAGGAGGAAACGGGCCCACCCTCCTCTCAGGAAGTGGGGTCCCTGAGGGGCTCAGCTGGTAGGAGGCTCTGAGTGGAAGGGTGGCAGGAGGAGGGGCTGACTTAGGTCCACTGGACAGTGCTCTGGAGCACGACAGTGACCACTGCTTAGAAGGACTCACCCGAATGACCAAGATGCCAGTGGATGCTTGACTGATCTGGTTCACACATCTTCCAAAGCTGGTGTATGCTCAGGGTGAAATGAAATCATTTACGCATATCTCCTGTGTTCCAGAGCCTGCATATGTTCCTTTCATATATACTTATTCCTTTAATCCTTCCAATAACAAACCTAACATTTACAAAGTGTGGTGGTGGATTTTCATTTTTGGTAGTGGAAAAAGAGCTTATTGCATTCATCCTTCCCTAACAGTAACCAGAAATATGGAAAACCTTGAAAAAGGCTCACAGAGAACAAAACCACGTTGGAGAATTCCCAAGGCAGCCAGGTCTCGAGAGGCCAAGACAGACTCTGAACAGTGGTAGGAAGCACACTGAACTGAGCCTAATAGTCTGTGGTGCTGTTCTTCCAAGCCATTTGCTAATTCCAGGAGTACAGAATCAGACATTAAGAAAATGAGCAGCGGCAAAGAGACTGGAATCTGGGCAGAGATTCTGACATTCTTGTGGCTTTGGGAATATGGAAATGAGAGTTCAGGACCTCGTAAGGAAGAGGAACCCTGGTAAAGAACCTATGTTTCTAGTTAGAATCGCAGGGAGCGTATACACTAGGAGGCTGACTGTCTCTCAAAACAGCTGAAACTCAGCTTCTGGTCCAACAATGGGTTAAGACAATATGCCCTAACTCCAACTGCCTGACAAAGTGCAAAAATAAATTCCCTGTAGAAGAAGATAACATCACTTTGAGGTCATTTCTACATATTTTCAAGGACTATGCCTAACATTTGATCAGAATTATCATTCCAAAAAATTATCATTCATACCAGCAGATAAGATAAAATGACTAAAAACTAAGTAGAAAAATCAAACCATGGCAGTAGTTAATTCATATATCACCATTGGCACACATAGTTATTAAAATAACTAGTTTAATATAGTCAAGCAACAAGGTAAGAGAAATAATTCCTCAAGCAATTAGCATATCATGGTGAAATAAGCAAACACCTAACACTGAAAATTTAAATAACTAGAAGTAAGAGCTCTACAGATTGGTTTAATAAAAGACTGGCCACAACAGAAGGCAAGATTAGTAAACTACAAGACAAATAATGATAAAGAAATCAGACTAAAAGATGAAGAAACAAATGAAATCACAGACCAGAGAGTAAGGTATGGTGTTTTGTTTCATTAGATTTAGATTTCTAGAAAAGGGGGAGGAAGGGCATCTGATAAAAGAACTGATAAAAATCAAGCTAGAAGTGTTACAGCACCTGAAGAAAATCAGAAGCACTATTTTCAAAGAAGCTACAGTAGTCTGACAACAGACTTTAATGAACAGGCTGAAAACTAAAAACAGATGAAATGACATCTTTAGAATGTTAGAATGTTTGTATCTAGATGCTCCGCCCACAGTCTCGTGTGCTTGTGGGTAGGGGCTTTCTGGAGCCCCCTGGATCTGGCTGTGTGACGCCAGGATTAAGGGTGTAATGGGTTTGGTGTAGTTCTGGGTTGGATAAGGGAAGCCCCGCCCTGGCTGTGGGCGGCACCAGTCAGTAAGCTCACAGTCTGAATGGAACAGACCTGGAAAGAGTGACTGCTGCTGTGTGCCGCCGCCTCCCCCCTGCCTCGCCGTGGACTGCTCCTCCTCTGCCATGTCCGTCGCCTGTGCCACTCTGCCTTGGGGCCAGCTGACTATGGGTTGGAACCCCTACAAACTGTGAGCCACAATAAACCTTTCTGCTTTAATTTGTGGGTAGCAGGTGCTTTGTTCTATCAGCGAGAAAGTAACTCAAAAAATAGGGAAAAGATTCTGATAATTACATTTCCAGAGAAATTATTTTTAAAAATTCAGAAGAATTAAGAATATTTAAAAACAAATGAGGATTGGAATAATTTGCCACATTATAAGAAATGCTACAGGAAGATTTTAAGGAATAAAGAAAAACTATTGCACATAAAAATTTCAAGAAAAAACAGAAATACCAGTGTTAAAATATGTGAATATTTACCATTTAGCATGATAACAACATATTATTGAGTACAAATATTTTTTAGGTTTAAAATACATAAAAACACAACTTAAAATATTGGAAAGGTTAATTTGAGTTTTATTTGTCCAGGAAGTTGTTAAAGGAATAATTTACCCTGACTATAACAAATCAAGAATGTTTCATTACTTGAATGCTAAAGAATATACAACAAACTGGGCTGGGGATTTAGCTCAGCGGCATAAGCGCCTACCTTGGAAGCAGGCAGTTGTGAGTTCAATCCCTGCTACCCATAAAAAGGAAAAAGACAAAAAAAAAAAAAAAAAAACAATCTAAGATAAAAATCAAATCACATAAAATGCTTGATTAGTTATTTATAAAAGATAAAAAAAGAAAAATAAACAGGATAAGTGGAAGATAGCATGATAACAGATTATAACAAACTATATGCAGTTTCATTAAATGAAACAAATAATTTCTATAGTTAAAATGCAGATATTTTAATTGGTATGAAGACAAAACCTAACTTTATGCTTCTTACAAAAGATACATTTTTAAATAAAAGGATCTAGAAATATTCAAAGTAAAAGGATGATAAAGACATACTAAGAAAACATTAATTAAAAGACAGGTGGTATATCTATGTGAATTCAGTGAAGCCAATATTACTCTAGTACCAAAATTGAGAACACTATAAAATACTAAAACCACAGATCAATATCCTTCATGAATATGGATGCAAAAAATCTTATAAAAATATTAGCAAGTAAAATTAAGTAATATATAAAAATAAGTATACATCATTAAGTGGGCTTTATTCTAGGGATGCAAAGCTGTTTCAGTGTTTGAAGAGGAATAAGTGTAATCCAATTTATTAACAGGCTAAAGAAGAAAATCATATGCTCATATAAGTTGAAGTAGAAAATATACTTAATAAAACTTAATATCAATTTATGATAACTCAGCAAATTAAGAATTAAGAACTTCCTTAACTAAATACTTGCATCTGCAAGAGCATACAGCTAACATCATCCTCCATGTGAAAGACTGAATATTTTCTCCTAAGACCAGGAAAAAGGCAATCAGCTTTACTTTTTCTGTTGCAGTTCAGTGTATTGCTGGAAGTTCTAGCCTGTGCAATAAGGCAAGAAAAGGAAATAAAAACCATATATGGAACAGGGGAAGGCATAAAACTTACATTTGCATAAACACCTATATGTGATTATTTATAACAGTTCTGTTTTTAATAGCTGTAAACTGGAAATTACCAAAATGGCCCTTAACAGGCCAATGATAAGCAACTTGTGGTATAACTATATTATAGGATACTACTTGTCAGGAAAAAAGGAATGAACTATTGACACCCATAACTTGGGTGGATATCAGGGGCACTGTGCTGTGTGAAAAGACCCAGTCTCACTCAGGTCACATACTTCCCGAAGTGTAAGATTCCATTCATGTAGCAGTCTAGAAATGATAGAATTGTAGTACCAGAAGAACTGTGTAGAGATTGCTGAGGGCTAGGGATGGGGCTGGCAGGAGGGTATGTAACAATAAAGTAGGAGTTTGAGGGGTATCTTTGTGGTGATTCAAGTAGTTCTGTATTTCAATTGCAGAATGCTTACACAGATCTGTGTGTGTGATAAAATTGCATAAAAATATACCGACACATTGTACCAATGTCACATTCCTGGTTTTACTTTATGCTGTACTTATGCAAGAGGTAATAACTTGAAAAAATTAGGCAACAAGTACAAGAGATTTCTCTATCCAACTTTAAGTCACTCTTAGGGAATTCATAGTGAACTTAATGGCAGAATAGTGTATTAGCACATATAATATTAGTTTAAACGTCAATGGTGCCAGGAACTGTTTGCTATTTCTATATGTTAACTCAGTTAAATACTTGTAACAACACTCTGATATAGGTACAACAATTATGCTCATTTTATAGACATGTAAACCAAGCCATAAAAGTGGTACATAATTTGTTCAAAGTCCCACAGCTACACCGAGCAGCAGACTGAAGACTCAAAATGAGCAAGGTAGGTTTCAGAATTGAAGCTCCGGCCACTACATTCTCTCCCATATGCAGATCTTCCTTTCTTGTTTCCCTGTGTTCTACTTCCTGGATCTTAAACTTTTATGTAAGTAACAATTAATATGAGTATTATGCACAATATTATGTACACTGTGCTTACAGCACGGTTTCATGGGTTTCGAGGGTGATTCTGGCTGTGAGCCAGCCTTGCCTTTTAACTGACTTTAGAGACAACTATGTTTCCTGCTCCTGGTGGTGAATGCAAGTGACCTCAGCAATGTCCCCAGGGCTTGATTTTTCATGAGGAACCATAGAGGGAGAGGGATAAGCATATCCCACCAGGCTTTGCTTCAAAGGTAAGCATGGCCCGGGCCAGGCCTCCTACTACCCTTGACTTGGGAAGCCCACTGCATCTGTGTTGATGAGTGTTACTCCTCCTGGCTGTTCACGGAAGTCTTGGCTATCAGGAAAGCGAGGGGCTGAGGAATAGCCACATTTGAGGGAAGCCAGAGTGCTTGCTCAGGACTGACTTAAAGCCTATACAGAACAGCAGTGGCTCTTGAACTCTATTTCTGGTTTGGTGCTTATCAATCCTCCGTCAGCTCTCCAGAGGGAAATGTATGGTACCTCATATAAGTATTAAACATCTCTTTTAAGATGTCAGACATTTACGAGTGCTAACATTAAAACTATCTGTTACTGCCCTTTCTCATCCCACTGATTATTTATTGTTTGGAAAGATAAATACAGGAAAGAAATTGACCTAACCATGCCTTATCTTGATTACACGTGGCACTAAATGAAGAACTTGTAAAGAGGGTGCTTCATAATCTGTCCTTAGTGCTGGTAAAGACTGTGTAAGAAGAGGTGTGTGGCTTAGCCTAATAGGTTAATGTAAACCTTATAGGGTCACTGGGGCCAAGAGCACTGTGGTAGATCAACACAAATCCTGTACTGCTACAGAGAAGGAGGTCACAGCCCAAGGTTTCTGGTACATTTTTTTTATTCCCACAGCCCAGAATAGGGTGCTTGGTAGATAACAGACATCTAGTAATTTAAAGAATAAATGAATGAGGGAGAGATGTCTGGCAGGTGAGAGGAGCACGCATGTTCTTTGCTCATGCTTAGTGGTCTCTAACTTTTTACTGCAATCCACAGTGAGAAGTATGTTTTGTCCCATGACCTAGTATTGAGATATATACCTCCATACAGGGCGTATTTTATTTATATTTATAACTGAAATGAAAATATGAAATAATTCTTACATGTATTCCAATCTATAAAATTATATTTTCTATTATTTTTGTCCTATTTTGTTTAAAAATATTCATTGACCCCATTAAATTAGTGGTAAGATGTATTAACGGGTTAATGGGCTGTGACTGATAGCATGATAGCAAACCTTTTAGAGATGAGTGCCCAAACTACAACCCCAAACCCACTTATGCACTTACTGATGCTGCAACGAAACCAGAATACTGAGATTTCAATTTGGAAAAAAACAACTCATACATGAACATCTTTTGTCTTAAAAGAAAAACAACACACATGCCATAGGTTCGCCGTCATTGACCTAGAGTTTGAAAAATCCTAGCAGAGCTGAAAGCTTATGCATAGGTTTTAGGATCTGATCTGGGTTGAATGGTTGCTTTTTCAACCTGTGTCACCAAATTTTTTTCCACATCTCCAGTTTCTTACTTGTAAACTTGGAGTCCTACCCGACAGAACCTGTCATTACTCTGAACGTGAGAGTCTCTTCATGGACTCCCTGTTGCCACTGAGCTAGTCCAGCTGCTTTACCTTGGAACATTTGGCCCTGACCCACACAGTGGGTTCTGACCTTCACCTCTTGCTCCAGCTGGTCCTCACACACCACACTGCAGTGGCTCTGGAATTAGCGGTTATCTAAATATGCCAGGCTTTCTCTGGGGCCCTTTGAACATGGTTGGTTAATGTCTACCTTTTCCCTAAGGAATAATAAAACGGTCCCTTCAAGGAGACTCCTTTGACAGCCAGCTATGCATCCAGTGCCTCCCTCATCTCCTCCCATAGCCTCTCTGGCTCACCTTGACCACACATTATCATCATGATCATGATCATGATCATCATCATCATTATCATCATTCCAGTTATCAACTTCATCTGTTACAAAGCAGGGACTCTTATGTGCTGTCTTTGTTAGTTTCTATAATAACTGAGGATACTTCACACATCCTTCTAGCTTCCCCAAAGTAAACAGAATTATTAAGAGGTATATACCCCAAGATTCAAGTCACTTTTAAACATTCAGGTCCATGTTTAAATGATGGTTCTAAGAAATCAGGGTAATCCTGTGGCAAGAATCCCTTCAATACAGAGGTGAGAATGGGGGTATTCTTAGAAATCAGTGGTCACCTAGTATCAACTTTCTTTGCCCAGTTCATGCATCTTAAAGGACAAGGTTCTCTGCATTTGTCACCCCTGGAAGCTGACAAATTAGTCTGACATAACTGAGCACAGTCCCAAGAGCAGTGCTCTCAGAACATGCAAACAATGAGAACATCAAGTTTTAAGTAGAGAGGGGTGGAGGAGAGGAGAGTTAATGGTATACCCCTTACTGTTAGCACTTAGCTGGTCACAGAGATTCTTTATTAAGATTTCTCTCATTATTGGTTAGAAGTCACTTAAAATGGATGGCAATATACTCTATAAAAAAATCTGATTGCTTTGTTCAGCTGATGAGTTAAGTCTCTAAGGAAATGGCATTTATCACTGGGATACTCAAACTGAAAAATGAGATCACTTTAGCTCTGTTGATAGGAACTTAGAAATAGATCCCTAAGAAGTTTACCGTATTCACAGTTCAAGTCCCCCTATACAGGTTCCACAAAGTCACAAGTGAGAAGTAAGAGATAAAATGCTATTAAAGTAAAGTACAATTAATTTAGGGAGAAGACTCTTGACCAATAGCAATAGGAGCATGAGCTGTACAGGAAAAGCTTTGCTTAGTGAAATGCTGCCTCACTGAAACTAACACTGTTCGTGATGAAGAAATTTCGGCCCCTACGCTGCCCAATAGCACAAAATATGCTCCAATTCAGCTGTTTACATCTGGTTACAGAGCTTTCTTGTTAACATTTTTTAAAAAAATATCCATCATAGCTCTTAGAATTTCTCAAACAAAACCTTGTGATCATGAGAACTAAAAATGTATATACCCCAGGTACCATTGTAAGTGATACTAGACATTATTCAGGCTGAAATATTCTATCTGAGCTATGAAAGAGAGTCTCCATAATGAAGATGGCCTCCCACAGGGAGTGCTTGAGAATATATTTGACCAAAATGGCTATGTACCATTAATCTGTAACTTCTGCATTATTAAAGGGAAGTGAAAAAAAAAGGAGAGAAGTCATCTGGAAGTAATATGTGCGTGGACTGCATACAGCGAGATCCTCAAAGCAACTTACAACTCCTTTGTCCTTGACTGTGTTGACTGGCAAGATGATGTGCTAGTCTTCAACATCTTCCTGAACAATTTTTGCCAATGAAAAGATGTGGGGACTTTCTGGGAAATGTTTTCAAAGGGATGAACCTGACTAGAATGTTGCATTGGCCATCTGCCCCTCTTGACTTCCTTCTCTCTGGAAAGTAGGCACCAAGTCTAGAGCTGCAAAAGCCATTTCAGATTATGATGCAACACAAGGGTGAAGGCCGTCCTCAAGAGAGGCAGGATGAAAGCGGTTACCCACGAAGGGAGCCAGGGCCACCTGAATTCCATGGCAGGTAAGAAAACTATGTCAGTTGACATTTCCATGTTTATAGCTAAATAAGATTTGATTTAGCACATTGTTGCTATTGACAAGTCTTCTAGGGTGCGTAGAAATTCGGGATCCCATTCTGTAGACAACTGTTGAACCTAACTCCTAATCACACAAACATTTAAATAATGTGGCAGAAAGATAAGCTTAGTTCTGGTGATCAGTATACGGAAATGTAAGTTATGGTTTCAGGGATATCTGAATCTGAGTTATAGTCTTTAACATACAGCTCAGTTTGGCACCCTTCGTTTACACAGATCATTTTAAAAGTGATAAAACAGAATGTGGTTTGGTTTTAGTTGTATCCCCTTACTTGCTTTTCCCTTTCTACTTTTTGTTTGTGATGGCTGCAATATGTGAGGAGGGGCTGGGGCTAGAGACAGGAACGAATCATTAACCATAAGACCATGCAACAGGTTCCCAAATGCATGATTTCAGGGGTCAAAAGCTAGGTAAAATCAATAATTTTTCTTAACTATTTAGATATAGTTCAGTAACCTTCTCAAGAGAGAGCCCAATAATATACTATTAAGTCTGCCTGTACATACTCCAGAAGCCTTCCTGAGGAGCCTTACTCAGTATTTACTGAGCCAGGCAGTGTTTAATTTCATGTAAGCCACAAGCAATCCATGGGACATTGGCTATCCACTTATAGTGTTGATACTAGGGGCTTTTGAAAAATTAATACATTTAAATTAATACTTTAAAAAACCAACCTATAAAAGTATATGCTTCCAAAATTAAATTAATTTGCAATTTATGTTATGTGCCTCTATTCTGATAGAAAACATTATGCTTTGGTTCTTTGTTCATGAAATAGTTTCAGCTACTAGATTGAGTTTCTTGAAGGTCAGAATTATTTCTAAACTTCTTTGTGCGGCAGATTCTCAGTAACAATTTCCCTCGAGTGCTGGTGAATATATACTGGGGAATCCAGGTCACTGAAGTAGAATTTTGTGTGCTATTTGCCACCTTGATTTCACGGCTGCTGTCTATTGGTCAGCAAGTATTTGATAAACAGATAGTAAGAGCTTAGGATCATAGAAACAATTATTTTGTATGATAAAGTCTAAATGGACACACTATTTATGAATAACTGGAAAAGAATAAGGTTCTCTCTGATTCACTAAAAGCACGCAGTCTCTTTCTTGTCAAGGTTGCATGATGCTAAATCAAGGCATTCTCACAAACATGATGTAGCACAGCCTCAGTGAGACTTTGATCAAGGCTCTGTGGTGTCCAGAGATGAACTGGAGAATGCAGCTTAGATAATAGTAGACTAGATTAATAGCTAAGTGAGGAACCCAAAGAGTGCTGATGAATGGGGGTCTCAAGTAATGAGTTGTAGGCATTTCACTTGACAGTGATCAATGATCTTATCATGACATAGATGAGCACAGTGATTAAATATGCAAATAGTATAACCTAGTAAGAATGGCCAACGCTGTATATGGGAGGATGGAAATCAATACTTCTAAAATATCTTTATTGGGCACAAGAGTAGGCTAAATCTAACATGTAAATATTTAACTTGGTTAAAGAGAATATCCTATGCTTTAAAAATTCATTGTACAAGTATGGGATTTTGTACAGTATTTTGAGGAATCTGGCATGATAGCAAGTGAAAAAAAATTAGAAGTTTTAGTTGAGAAGTACATATAAGTGAATAGCAACAACTGATGTAAAAGTTTAGGTAACATTAATAAATGTAAAAGATTAAGATTGGATACAAAAATCCCAGTGACTCCCATTGGCCACATTTGAAGTTCAGCATTCAGCTATGCATAGTGTGTTTAACTTAGCCTGAAATGCTACAGACTTGTCTGTACTCAGACAACAGCTACCGAGAGGACTGAATTAGGCACTAAAACAGCAGGGCACACTACACTGAAGAAATGACTACCCGGCGAATGCCCAGGGCTCTGTGCTGTGCTCTCTGCATCCTTCGGAAGGCCAGCTCTGAGCACGCGGCGTGGTATCCAGCAAATGACTGTTCATAAAGGCAGGCAGCACGATCACTGGCTGCTGATGGAGCTCTGCCTTCTCGCCTGGGCAGGGTGGCTGCAGATCCACTGTGAGTGCTGCCCAGAGACAGCACTGGGGCAGACACACGGCGGGCGTCTCTGTACCATGTACACCGATCTCAGAGTAGAAAAGGGACCTCAGTGAATTCTTGTCACTGGGAGTATACTGTCAAGGGTCGAGTGTCACCTCCTAGGAATTTTGTGCAGACTTGCCTCCAATGAGGGGTACGTGAGGCTTGACCACTGAAGGTGCCTTGGAGTCTAAGATTCATCAAACTGTTCATTCATAGGATCCAAAAATATTCAAGGGGAATCAATCGCTCTAGAAAGTGAGAAGACAAAGATGAGCTGAGCGGCCCAGGTGCCCACCCTGCAGGACCTGGAGTGGAGGCCAGCAGTCCCCAAGTGAGCAGTGTGCAGTCCGTTGGTGTGTGTGCATGGGGATGCAGGAAGCACTGCTTATACTGTGACTTTTTACCATTCTTTTATCAATTTCTATATTTCATATATGTTTATATTATATGCATCATTGAAGAGTCATGAAGAAAAAATACACATATTTTGAGGAGATTCTACCCCAAAGCATTTTCTTTAGCAGGATGTGTGCTCAAACACTTAACATCTAGTAAAGAATGTCAAATCATCACAAAAATGAATGGAAGCCTCCATTGTACCAAGCGCCATACACACCTCCTGGTCCCCATTTGAGATGGTCCCACCCTCACCCAACACACACTTTCTGTGTCCTGATACCATGCCTCCCCCCCCCAATGCTGGTACAGCAGGAAAGAGCACCACATTATCACCCTGTGTCCCATCAGGCCTGGGGACGCAGGCGCACTGTGAAAACCCAGGCGTGTGTCTCTGCCCTGGGGATTGTCGGGAGTATTGGGGTTTTTGTTTGCTGGTTTGTTTCTTTTTTAAACCACTATCATTTACACATGAATCCTTTATAAACCAAGGCTTTTTTCTTGGGAGAGCTATAGGAGGCTCAGGGCCAACTCTTTAGAAGCAAGGATGGAAGCCCGGGAGTTGTCCCTAAAGAAAGCTGCTGTGGGCGCACACCCGGGAAGGGCTCCTGTGTGGGACAGCATTGTGAACACAAGTGTGTTATGTAAAATGCTGAGCAGAGGAAAAACAATGTGGAAAATTGCATTTAATGACCACAGCATGTAAGACCATCGCTATAACCTACCTTTCTGACACAAAGTAGGTGAGGATGAGCTGCCCAGGAGGAGCATGTGGGATTCCGGGGCTGTGCCTGGTTGTAAAACCCTGAGTCCCTTCCTTGCTCCAAGTGGGCCCTGGCTCTTGTGGGCGAGATAAACCCATCACCAAGCCTGGCGTCTAGTCGAGGCTCTGTCATGGACCTCTTGCTCAACTCCTGGACACTCCCATTTCGTCTCTCTTCCCAGTCACCCCCCCACTTGGGTTGGTTTTATTACCGTTCCTTCAGGTTCCTCCAAACACATGCTTTGCCTCACTTCAGCTTTTACCCACGCTGTCCTGCCGTGAGCCAGCAGCTCGTCCCAGCACTTAGATGGTAGCAACCCTAACAATGCCCTTCCACGCCACGTTCTCAGTGTGTGCGGAAGTCTCCGTCTCCTCCACAGGACTGCGTCCCTCCTAATGGGGGGAATGCAACTGTCTCCCTGTCTTGGGTCCCTTGTGATCTCAGTACTGAACTGTGGTCTTGACCCTGGGAGATGTGCAGCAAATACTTGTTGAATTATTGGTGCAGAGAGGAGGGGTGGCATCAAGGAAAGGTTACTTTATTGAATGCCACGCAGTGGTCATCTGGACGAGAACTGAACCTATGCATCTCTTTGCAAAAGCATTGATTTAAGTTGGGAGCCCAAATGCAAGCCTGCTGTCCTATCTCACCGTTTTCGCACCGCATCCAGCCAGTGCTTACTGTTCTGTCCAGAGCCAGTTCCAATACCACCTTCTTTGGGAGCCTTTCCTGACTGGCCTGTGAAGAGTCAGGAAAGAAAGGCTTGTTTGGATAATTACTTTGTAGTTACTTACATTGTAATTATCCACTTCCCCACGTGGTGCTCCCCTTTTGACTGGAATACAACTTCCTCTGTACTAAGAACATCTCATGATCATCTCCGTACCTTTCCTAGAGCTTCCCATAGTCGCCAAATAAATGCTTACTGACTGAGTGAAAGATTGCACAAATGGGTGTGTAAATGATGGCACCCTTCACTGTAAATAAGGCAGGCTTAGAACTCCCACTGCCTGCCCACTCTTGGTGATACTGCCAAAGGAACTCTTCCTAGATTCACCGGATGCAGAATTTCACTAATAAAAGGCAGCCCTAATGCTAATAATATTAATAATCATAACAGCCAACATTATCAAATGCTTACCAGGCGCCAAGACAAAAATTGTCAGCTTTAAGACTTTAGGATGAAGGGACAGAGCAGACTTTAAGTAAGATTAAAGAGCAGACTGAAGATAATTTTCATAAAAACTCATCCTTTGGTCAGCTATCCAAAAATATGACAACAGTGTGAAACTCCACTGGAGGCAGATTTAGATCCTGTGGGAGAATTTAGTGGTGGGAGATACGGGGTCAGCGCTAAAAGTAAGAACCCACTACTCATATAGGCTCTGGGCTGGGGAGTAAATAGCTTAGTTTTCCCTGATGGGCATTTTATAGTAGCTGGAGCTAAGATTATCCTTAGAAATTTCTTTCCTGGTCAAGTCTACTCATGGAAATGAGCATAGAACAGCTTGTCCTAGATAGTGTTTTAAAGAATAATTAAGAAGATTGTTTTAGGAAAAACAAGCTTCAAAAGGCAAAAATTAGGGGTGTGATGAAAGTCCATTTGTTGCATGATTTTTTTAGAGATGCTGAATGCAAATTAGTATATTTGGTGTCAGAATACAATGAGGAAAACTCATCCTGGGATTTAGCCCAGAATTCTGCCTATGTGCTTGACTTGAGAACCTCTTCTTCTAGAGGATGTTTTTATTTTCATGGAATTAATATTAGGAAATACTCTCTTGGAGGCCCTAAGACCCTCTGTGCTGGAATTCTAGCAACAGATCCATGCAAAGGGGACTGCTATGAAGACCTGTCTGATTTAGGGAGAGGAAGATTGACTCTGCTTTAGGCCAGAATAGACTCATGCCCGGTGCTATTATTTACACAATAAAATCCAACCTTCTAGAAAGGCAGGGGAGAAAAAGGCCAAGTCCTAATCAATCCTGGAAATTAGCAGTTTAGTTATTATGACTGTATCACACAGTCACAGGAATTTATATTTTCATTTTGTCCCAAAGAAAAACTTGACCATCTTTCTTTAATATCATCAACAGGGAAGCTTGACAGTAAGGATTAAAAATTGCTCCTTCCTTCTCACTTGGTTATTGGAAAGGCTCTGAAAGGTAATCAGTCTTGTGAAGCTACACTTTACAGTCTGCATAAAAATGCCATGATTTCCCTTCCTCTCCCCAACCTAATTGAAAGTGCATAATATCACCCAGCTGGGGAAATGTAAACGGTAAACATATGCAATCTATCATGCTATCACACAAAAGCTGGTTACTAACAGGAAAGGGTGGTTATCAGATCCCTAAGAAATCTGGAAAACATGTCTTTTATTTTTTTTCCTCATCTAGAATTAGAGCTCTTTGCACAAGACACACGTCCCGCCATCTCCACACTCTGACTTCAAACTGCAGTCCGATCAGAGCAAGGCCAGTCAACACCCCGCCCCTTGTATTTGAATTCCAAGGGTGACCTAACAATGTGTAGTGACTACAACTCTTCAGGTCATTCTTTCAAGACACAAGACATTTTACTTTTGTCAGGAGGTGGAGTTGGAGTGGTCTTGTTCCCTACCTACTTCAGTTGTACTGACAGATGGTCCTAATATGCCTTTCCTCAGTTACTAAACCTAAAGATCTGTGGCTTTGTCACCTCCTATGTTTCTCTACTTCATCAAACTCCTATTGCCAAGATTATCTCCTTGCTACCTCTGGTCAGCCATGAATTTCTATATAAGGTCATATTGTTTTCAAGCATCAAATCCTGGTTATACTTTACAAACTTCCCTGCACCTCTGTAGCTATCTATAATTCCATTTCAGTTATACCCACTTGGAATTCCTCACCTCTAAATGCCAGGTCATCTTCTTAAATACGTCCTATACAATAAGGCTCCTAGGAGAAAGGATAATATTCCTCCACAGTTTTCGTCATTCGTTCTCTGTCACAATATTCCTGCAAAAATTGCTCCCCGGTGCACCACAAACGCTACTCCTGCCTTTCATGCCACCTTATAACCAGCTGTTGTTTTATTTTTGATGGCTCATACCTTATGGGTAGGTCAAAGTAGCACTCTTGTCTAGGGCACCATGTCATTCAGCATTAATAGATTGAAGGATATATTTTTATCTGCTTCAGCAGTAGAGATGATTTGAAACTTACTGAATTAAAGCTACATTCATCTTTCACTAAGTTTTATTACCTGTCAACTGGAACTGGCGGCTGATATGGCTTGTTGACCTTGGCGTAGAGACCCTCTAAGTGGTCTCTCTCTGGAGACAGTGGACGGCCATCTCTAGGGTAACCAAATGGTCCAGCCCGAGGAGGAGATGGAGATCTAAAGACATTTGCAGATGCACATGGTTCCCGAAAGTGGTTCACTCTGGCGTAATTGGGGTCTATTTCATCATCATCCATATCATGCACTGATCCAATTGTACCAGTGGCATAGTCCAGCAGACCTCTTGCTTGCTTTTCTCTTAGCTCTTGATGTTTTGCTCCAATCCTGAAAAATGCAGAGGAGGTAGGAGTGATGTGAGTTTTATGTGCTGATACAATGAAATAGTCATCTGGGACTGTTCACTCTTTCCAGTCACTTAGCCAAGTGTCACTTTCCTATTTTCTCAAGATCACACCATGCATACATGCCAACAGCATAAGAGAGTTCATTTTATATCTTTGATATTTATTTGTTCTGGGGTCTTTATTTGGATCCTGAAGCCACAGATATTTTGATCTTGTGCTAGCTGATAATGGGCTGTTAACATTCCTTCCCTGCAAATGGAAGAAGGTACTTGTGGGAACAGTGCACCTCTGGCTTAATACTCTGAAGTGTTTCTTGGGACAGGGATTGATGCTAAAGGGACTGTCCTAATCTTACGCTTTTGCTAGGACTTCACTATTTAGTGTTCTGGAGTTTTAGTGCATTCTTTTTAAAGCAAAGAGTTTGCAAAAAATTGATTTAAATATGAAAAAGAAATACAGAGCCTAGTGGCTAAAAAGCAATAGGACCAGTGGTAATTTATAAGGCACTCTCACGTTTTTTAGTTACACAAATGGAGATCATTGTGTCTTGTGGGGCTAGGAACAGAATAAAATAATGAAGAAATTAATAGGTTCCTGACAGAGATGAATTGGCACATATAAGTGAATTAAGCATCATTACTGGCAGAACTCCATTGGTCTAAAGCCTTAAGTGATATTACAAAATGCTACTTCTAATCAGGGCCACTGGATAGATTACTGACAATGAAACAGAAAAATATACTTAGGTAAACTCCTAATCTATGAGAATGTGGAGAATTTGACATTTAATGTGTGAAGTGCTCGATCAGCTGTCCCAAATTCCCAGTTGGTGATAAACTGGAAAGGTCGCTGTGACATCCCACTGGACAGTGACCCACCACAATGGCATGTGGGGGCCTTCAGCACTAATGAGGAAGGAGTTTAACCTCCTATCAAAAGGTGGGAGAGTAAGGTGGTGGTGACTCATAGTTACAGAAAGATGTCCAGGAAAGGAGGGGACCAGGGACTGCAAAGGGCTGCAGCTGGAAGTGAAAGATCTGAGTGTACCTGGTGACAGACAGAGAAGGCCTGGCCGAGGAACAAAACAAAAACTGAAACCCTGTGGCATCCTCTCTTCTTCAAAGAAAAACAGTTGTTTTTGTACATGGCAGCCAGTTTTATTTTACAAAACATCAAACCCGTTGCAAAAAACTTTAGAAGCCATGAGTTTGCAAGGTATTTCCTCTTTTGGTAGGAGAGCTTTTTTGTTTTTATTTTTTATATTTTCAAGTAGAAAGGACCAGAAAAGAAATCAAACAGGAGACAGAAAAAGCAACAAAACAAACAAACAAAAAGGCACAGGATAAACAAACAAGCAAAAAACTCCCAGCATTTATCCTCAAATCACAACAGATGAAAATAAATGCCAGGATATATTACTGCATATCTCCTTTGACGAGGCCAAACCACATACCTTACATACAAGTAATTAGAAGAATTTGTATTTTTGCATAAGGCAGCTTGGATCTCGAAGGGATTTTGAATTAAGATGAAAGGAAGATGACACAGTAGGGTACCCGTTAAGGGCCTTGTCTGTCCTCTTTCAGTGCATGTTAGTCCTAGATTCATGAGTGTTTGTTTTGGATAATTTTTGATAAAAAAGATAACCGGATCCATCCTGCAACAAAACAATCTTTCCAGGGATGGCGCACACTTGATTATCAGAGAATGCTTGCTGCACTGTGATGATAGGGATGGATTTCCATTGCAAATAGAACGAAAGACATCAATAAAGTTGGGGGCGGGATTTTCCTCTCCTTCATAAGTGGGATGCCTTTGAGAGAAATCGTTCAGCAGAAAGATGAATATCTCCTGGGTGCCGCGTGGGGCTACGCTTGGGCATTAGAGGAAGAGGAAAACGCCAAGCTTGATTTTCTAAAATCACAGAAATAGATCACGGGAAGGTGTGGTCCTTATTTTGTCCCTCTGTTTCTCAGAGGTTTTCTTATTAATTAAGCATGCTGGGTAGTAGAGATTCAGATGAAAAGTACTCCGTGCAGGCAAAGTACTTGGTCTTTTATTTTTCCTCCCTGATCCTCTCTGCATCACTGAATGTTGCACTAATTTCGTATTAATCACTCAGTAGGTGAAGCAGTAATTTCTCTGAACCATCCTTATTATGCCGTATATCAGGGTTTCTCCATGTAGGGGAGGACAAGGAGTCTCTGAGAAGGGGTATGTGGAGCACAAAAGATTGCCTCACGAAAGAAGTGTCAAAAAAAAAAAAAGGATTTTGTTTTTGTGGCTCTGGACCCCCACTCCTCAATTTCCTGTGAGAATTCTAATTGTTTCTAGTCATTTGGACATGTACATCTTCTTAACCCCAGGGATGCAAACTGTTAAAGTATCTATTTTTTTAAAAAATAGCCTTGACACTATGCCCTTTTTAAATTCATGATACCATAATACTGGTTTCCTCATTCTCCTGGGCATATTGCTTTTGAATTATTTAAATTTCCTTTTTCTCTCCTTTCCTATGAAAATATTGATGTTTCATTTTTTCTTTTTATTTTTTTGAATGTTCTCTTTTTTCTGCTTTACAGCCGCAGTCTGGTGTCCAGGCTTTTACACTGTCCAGATCTGCGCTATCCAATGTGGCGCTCACAGCTGTGTGTGGCTCTAACAATACAAATCTGAATCTACTGAAATCAAATTCCAGCCTTGTAGAAGCTGTGCTGGACCCTGTTCATCTGGATTATTCTAAGAGTTTTTGGAATGTCACCTCGCCCTACTTAGGTGTGAACCTTAAAAGGCTGCCACAATAATAATCCTTAAAAGAAGATTTCCACTGCGTCTTGGTCCGATTAAGAGTCTCTAATTAGTGGAAGTTTTTACCGATGACTGAGTAGGGTTACTTCCCTTCCCTCCCTGAGGTCTAAGTGAACAACTGAGAAACTGGGAGGAAGATCCCATCCACAACTGGATTAGAAAATGGCCATAATCTCGTACTTTTCAATGAAATTGGGACTCAGTCCCAAAGAGGGAATAAGCCACAAGCGAAGATATGTTTATGTCTCTAGCAGGGTGTATCCTTTCTCGAAGGTCAGGAGTGTTGTCTGAAGGAGCAGAGACAGCAAGTTTTTCCTTAGGAAAAGTGAAAGCATAGACAGGGGTAGAGCGCTGGCATTGTGGGCAAATCCTGGTGAGGATCCTGGTGCACAGTGGAGGAGGCAGGGCCGTAACTGCCTGTCCTAGCAGCCTCGTTCCGGAGGAAACTTCCTGGGGTGAGATGACCAAGGAAGCATCAAACCACTTGTATCTGATGAGCAAAGACAAACCCTAACTCATGAAAATGAAACCAGTGTAGGAGACTTCACTAAGAAGATGGCTGATCTCTTTTCAGAGCAAGCTACTCTTTCAAATTCAAAAACAGGGAGCAGACTGGGGCAGTGCATGGAGCAAATTTGGAAAGATTATTTTGAAAAACTACGTAGTATTGAAGTTACCAGTGACGTTAGGTCCCCACACACCTGATATCTAACATAAGACTTTAGCACAGTTTTCTTTTCCTTACATTTCAAACATTGTAGAACACAAAAATTAATTTAATTGATCATATATGCATTTAAAGTTAAATATAATAAAGAGAGAAAATATCAGAGCTTATTGCATGCAGAAAATGTCTTGGAGGTGAAAAATAAAGTCATCTGAAGTTCAGGCAAATTCAGGCTGGCTTGAAACATGAATAAAGGCAAAATAATAACATCGCAAACACTTAAAAACACGAATGAAATATTATACTTGCTAACTCATCTTGAAAAACTAATAATGAAAAGCAGCCAACCAAGAATTGAGTCAGAATGAAAAATTCCACCTGATTCCCCTGCTCTGGACATCTTGCAAAATTGATTTGTTGAAATGTAATCCTTCCTGTGGTATGAAGGGCGGGGCTTGTTGGAAAGTGAGCCTGGACTGCCAGACAACAGAACTGTGAGAAAATACATTTCCCATTTTACAAACTGGTCAGCTTTTAGTAACTTGTTATAGCATCAGAAACAGATAAGACAATGATCAATCTGTAGTATGATAATACAGTCATTTTCTTACAAAGCTAAGGCTAAGCATTGTAGGACCAATAATTATATAAAACTGTAAGTATTGTGTACTCTGATACTATGTAAATAATGTCACTAGTGAAAATCAGAAACCGATAAAAAGGTGATTTAGTAGATAAGACTACCACTTATTATTTATTTCCTTTCCTTGTAGAGCAGTTATCAACAGTTATACTTTAAAATTCATAAACTAAGGAATAGAGGTTTGAGTATAGAAAAATTGCAAAAAAGCAACAGAAAGAACAAATTGTCAGCAGGAGAGAAACACACAAAACAAACCCAGACCATATAAAAGAAAATGGAAACCAGAGGAAGTAGTAAAAAAGAAAGCCACAAAATAAACTGATCAAAGTTATGACAATACTGAGATTATTTTATCTATTACAACTATGATTATAATACAGATATTATATATAGATATAATCCAAAAGAAAAAGACTGAGTGCTATTATAATGGCAAAAAAATTGAGCAGTTCAAATGAACATTAGTAGGGAATTATTAAATAGGTATTTTGAATTTATAAAAAAGTCATAGTGTTCCTATTCTAAAATGTATAAGTGTATATAATATTTATAAATTGTACAAAGATATTCTTGAATAAACAGAAAATTCTGGAAGCACATACAGTAGTTTCCTCTAGAGCATGGAATTAGACATAGGGTTCCACCTTTCCACTATTTGAAATTTTAGAAAATCCATGTTAAAGAAAACTTACAATTTTTTAAGTGCTAAAAAGTTTCTAACAATTGTCAGTCCTAATGAATCAAACTTTAATCCCTGTCTTCCAAGCCTGATTGCATAACTGTCAACTCAGTTACGACAATTTTCTTCAAATCACTTTCCACAGAACTTACTTTTGGTCCTTTCAGATCAACTGCTTTCAGT